TTTTTTTTTTTTTTCAAGACTTACATTGGAAGGGTTAAATATGTTATAGATCGGATCTTACTATTTACAGTATAAATTCTATTTGAAGCTGAAGTTTAGTACTAGGCCAAAAAGGAAGAAAAGTAGAGTACCTGAGCTTGAAGAACAGAAAACCACCCATCAAAATAAATGAGATGCATGCCACAAGGAGCACCACTAAGAACCTTTAAATTGAACATTAAAAAAACAAAAGAAAAAATCAAATGATATTTCAATCTTAATAGAACATGAATTTCTTCTGGAAAAAAAATAATGAAAAAAAGAAAGAGTGGTGCAGTACATTCATGAAATACATTGTTCTTGCAGTTTCTCTATTTCTTTTATCACATTTGCAGTCTATTACAGCATCAGTTTAGATGAGTGGCAACCATTCCATAAAATATGAACCATGGCAACAAATATGCACCTCACTTACGTGCCAACATTTCTTTCGAGTTGGATATTGAATAGGTATATCAGTCGTGCGAAACTCAATTTGATTTCATGAAATGCAGGGAAGTATACATCCAACTGAAGGGGTGTCGGTTTATTCAAGGTATTGGATACACTTGCAAATGGCAAGCTAAACTCCCCAACATTTTGAACGAGATAGGGAAATATCTCTTGGGCAGTTTTGCCTATAGATTTAACAGAGGTTAGTGTCAAGCTGAAAAGGCAGCATCCAAATATAACTTTGACCGCAACTTTAGCTTGGGTACCCTGATACAATTCCAGTGCATCATTATTAGCAATCAACCAATTCCGTGAACTACAAGCATGGGTTATATAATGAGCAAGCTCTCGGTAAAATAAGAGAAAAAGGGGGGGGACATATAGTTTATCCATTCGGCAGGCAACAATAATCCAAATCAGATTTTCAGTCTATCATCGAACACTCACCTGAGAAAATATATTCGGATTAACTCTATCTACACTGGCATTCTGGTCATTTAAACTGCTTGTACACGTTGTAGTATGTACCCCACCAAGTTTCCTATGCGAACAGGCTTCCCGTGTCCCTGCCATCAAATCACCATCATCAGGAAAGTAAAAGTGCGACGGATCTGCCGTGTTCAATGCCTAAGAAGTAGAACAAGTCACCATCATCAGGAAAGTAAAAGTGCGACGGATCTGCCGTGTTCAATGCCTAAGAAGTAGAACAAGGGATCAATGCTGCTTGACAAATTGATTCCAAAGACATCTATGTAATACATAGAAAGAAGTTATGAAAAGGTGAAATGATAGCGATTTCAATTACACTGAAAATGGAAAATAAACCAAATTGTCTTGAAAACTCAAATATACAAGTCTAAAATAGATAATTTGCTGGAAAAAGACAATTTCACCGAGCATTGATAGTAATTTCCTAACAGACTCACCATCACCGGCAATGAGAGGGCGTGCATTGAAATTCGAATGGTCAATCCGCCAAAGTTGACATGTCAATGTTCTCCTAGAAAAAGTGTTGAAACAGTTGTAACAAATCTAACTATGCAATAAATTAGAAAGAATAAGTCGGACAATATTATTTACAGACAGAAAATCTTATAAACTCGTAGCAGAGCAGAACTAGCCGAGATTAAATGATTATAAAAGCGGCAGAGTTTCAAATCCGCAACAAATTTCAATCCGCAATAAATTGGTCAACTACTTGACAACAACGGTTCAACACGCGCGAAAATCTAAGTGATTAAGTCGAATACCATTTATTGAAGTCGAAGATAGCTCGTACTAAAGAAAAATGGATAGAACAAGAGAATTGAAGATTGGATATGAAGAAAATACCTGGAAGTCGAAAACGGAATGCTCCGATAGAGTCGACGAGGTGGCGACGGCGGAAGGCGCAAGTGCGAGCAGCGATGTTGCAGAAGCATTTGGGTCTTGCGCGATGCTCCGTAATGGCAGCAGGTACGGTGGTGGAAGGAGGCTGTGTAATGGCGGCAATGGCGGAATTGAAGAGAGTAGAAGACAGATGAGTAGAGAACGCCCGGTGAATTCCATATTATATTACTTGCAGACGGAAATTTGATCACCGCTGTACCGTACATTTTTCTTTTCTTTAATCGAATAAAATTTATTCCTCTAAAATACTATTTGGTAATATTTACGTCATTAATATGAATTTTATTTTATATTAATTTTCTACTTTAATAAATTTTAAAATTAATCATTCAAAATCAATTTTAATCCTAATTTTTAAATAATAATAAAAAAGTTATATCATTTTATTTAAATCTAGAAGTTGAATTTTAAATATTTG